AAAGAAATTCGTCTTCACCATGAACTCTTATAGTTCTTCCTAATGAAGATCTTCTAACTCAAAAGGCTGAGTTCAAATGGCTTGAATTATTTATTCTAATTAACGATTTTTAAGCGAATCAGTTTTTCTGCAGAATGGGTGGCTTACCCGATGTTCGACTTCCGTTTTTCACCAGGGCAAAAGAACAACAGCGAAACCGGGTAGGCTACATACAGAGTTTCAACTGCCGTACTTCTTATTTTATTGTGTTATTTCGGGGTCGTATGTTATAGATCGATATAATGAAATGCAGAAGTGATAAACTCTATTGACGACATAAACATCAACTTTTCGAATACAACATTTTCAAATAAAATTGAAGGATGAAAATGGGAAGGTTATAGAACACTGAGAAGCAGTTATTCGCTGATAATACAACTGTTGAAGAATATTAGGTATTTGTTACTTTTTTAATATTGAAGGTTTGTAACACAGGTGAATTGTTTCAATGGAGTTTTGTTCTTTGAAATGGATGGTTTGCTCGTGGAGCTTTTATTGTACTTCCGAAGATCATCATCAGCACAAATCTCAGGTACTCGTAGCAAATAGTTTGTGTTCCATTGACTTCTACCATCCGACAATAAACTGTAGCCACCGTTTCTTATGAATTTCTGATTTCAAACACCGTTGACATGTTTCAAATTAAACGTAACAAAGATTGTTCATTAACGAAGTCAAACCACTGCACTTTAATAGTCACGATAATAGTTTGAATGGTTTGCGAACTATGCATTTCTAATTACAATATGTCTTTTTCAATCCTCATTATAACGTACCAAATAATGTATCATTGTCTTTTATTATCAACCAAACTGTTTTAATACCATTTAAGCATTCACATTCAATCTTTTATATTGTCAGACAAAATTGTTTTGTTTCTTCTCTCTCTCGGTAACTCAGTTAAATTAATCTTCAAACATCACTATATGGACTCAGCATTCAATACAAAGAACAATCGAACAAACAATCAACATTATCTATTAAGTTTCTTTATTATTGATATAAATGTTTCATTTCAATTTTTGTCATATAACAATAATCAATCGACCCATTGATTGGGTATTATTTAACAAACAAATTACAGTACGACTAATTCTCAAGAAATAATCTAGTCAATGATAAAGATATTCCACAATTCATATGACTAATTGACTATAGCTGAACCTCATTGTCCGTTTCATATAACTCAGTGTCTGTAATTGGCAATCATATCAACAGATTTAATCAGTCTAACGTATATTAAGAATTTATGTGAAAGTCATTTTAGTTATAGAACTAGTAACACAGCATTTTAAATTGGGAGTTAGATTAGTTGACTAACAATGTTAAGACTTCACGTGTTAGCCGCTGGAGTAATCAACTTCTTTGTTTCAATTTTTAAAGTATGCTTTCAAGATAGACGCAAATATAGATGAGCGTGGATACAATCTTATTGAAATACGTATAATTATTCATCATAGCTGGTGGCGACGTAGGTGTTTTCTTTTAGTATGACGCCGGTAACCGAGATATCGTGGTCTGATTTTGATTAAATGTTCTCGAATACAAGCGCAAAATTTTCAGAATAAATGCAGCATAAACTAAAGAGTTTTAACTCACAAAACAGCTGACTATCAGACAGTTCAACGTCTCTGAACATCTCTTAAATTTTGTGGGGTCCTTGATAAATGAAGGTCAATATGACTACTTGATGTCAGTGTATTTTGACATTTTAGTCAAATCAGATACAAGAACAACTATCATATCTTGGAAAAGCTGACAATCCGGTAGATTCGCAGTCACTGAGCTTACTGGAATTGAGATATATTATTAAAGAAAGTCTTCATCGAGACAGGCCAGAATAAAAAAGAACGGAAATCATCAATGACGGTGAATGTGAAGTTTGTGAGACGCTAAATGAAACGTTTAAGAGAAGAACGTTACTTTGCCCACTTATATGTAGAAGTAAGATGTCTGATGTTGCCTGAATAACCAATAGAATCCATTATTCTCAAACAGTATCACACTAACAAAACAATCACTGAATAATGAGCCATATGTCAAAGTCGCGATACGCGTTTACTTGAGAATTACGGTTGTTGAACGAATCATTTCAACCGATTCGGATCGTTGTAAGTTCAAGTTCAACCAAAATGTCTCTAATGCAGAAATTAATACCAACAATCGAAGATCTGTTTAGCAGAATATCTATTATAAATGTCAGTGCACTTTACAATTATCTTCAAACAGTTCATCATGAACACATATGAATATCTGTAAATTAATTAAAACAATCAATGGGAAAGCTTCGAGTTATTGTGTCCAATCATTTTGTCATTTTATGAATGACAATCGATGACTGCATTTAAAGAAAATAGTAAAGCGATTACAAGTATGATATTTTCATACACCAATACAAAAACACTGTATAGTGTTGAAATCTGTTCTCGTTCATGGCATTTCTCCAGATAATATTTTGTGAATGTCATCACCTGTGATTATGAAAACGTAGATGGTTATTTCATCATTGGAGCATTGTGATCAATATATGTATCAGTGAAATAATAGACATATACAGATAAAGGGTTAAGAATTTCGTAGTTTCTCAACATTCATACGTAGAAAATGAACAGTATGTTATCTGTATTTTGATCTGCCAATTATTGACAGATGGTCAATAATGCTTCTTAGTTCTAAATTCTAGAGAAGGATATATTTGACAGTATAATAATCGATGGACTATGTGTAATTGCAATTGTTTATTTTTTCAGAACTTACAATGAACGTTGCGCCGCACCAACAAACCATGAATGCAACTTGTAGGCCAGTCTATAATAATGGAAATAAAACAATTCAACTCAGTTCATCATATGTCTTTACAATTGCTAAAAACTTTTTATCAGTCGAGCAAATCATTGGTAAATAACTAGTAATCATTACACATTTCTAGTTTTTGTAAATCTCTGACTAGACGAACTCACGGTTTTTAGAATCAGCCACAAAACCACGAGAATAAAACCAGTGAAAACGAATCCACCACACATTGCAAATAAGAGTATCTTCCATTTCCTTTCTGAACCACCAAGATATTCACCCAAGAAAATGGCTACGATGAGAAGTAAGGTAGCCGTAGATATAGAAATAAATAGTTCGTACCATTGTGCGGTAAATATTAGAAATGCTGCACCGACATTTATAATGATCAACTGCATAAGGAAAAAGTAGTGTAAAATTACTATATGTTCAGAAGTTGAATGGTCCAACAACTGAAAAAATAATGAAAGACTAAACATCACTGAATTGCTTTCTATTGAAATGCATGAAAATGAATATCCATGGATACAAGCACATAACAAGGAATGCTTATCCAAGTGTGTCATAGTGACAAACGCGAAATGATTTCAAACAGAATTCCCTCATCTTCAAAATATGACCGAAATATGTGAGGTTTATCACCTAATCAAAGTCAAATATACTACTTGGGTAAAGAAACTTCTTCAACAGCTAGTATTATCTGCAACTCGAGGCATTGAATGGTGAGTTGGGTATCATAGAACACACGTTCAGTGATAGACAAAGTGTGTGGATGATAGAACAAATTGAAATGACAGAAATTTGATTTGTTAATTTGTTCTCTGTTTACAAGCAGTTCCACGTCTTAAAAATGCTCATAACAACGAATATAGATTAGGGTAAAATTTACCAGTGTGATGCGCATACACGTCTATATATTTCTGAATTATCCATGACATTGACTGATGCCATTTAATGTTATATGATTTTGCTCACATAACGAGGAACACTTATGGCTCACGATACAACGGAATTATTGGTGATCTGGGTTCTATACATTGACAGATTTATAAAATCCTTGAAACTGGATCGGTAAACGTATTGTTATTCTTAAATAAAACATCGAATGTTGTTACGTCCAAGTTTTGCTCGTTCCAGTTATTGAAGTACGGAGTACCGATCTACTTGCAAATTACGAACTCAAATTATCAACAGAACCAAGCTACAATTTATATATCAAATTTAATCGTAATTCACAAATAATCTTCCAAATATCGTTCTTCAATTTTGTAGGTTCCCGGAGCAATGCTCTCAAATACCAAACCAAAGATAAAGAGAGCACCAAATTGCCAAACCGAAAACAAACCAAAATGTCCGAAATAATGATATAAACAAACAAGTTCAAAAGTTAAGTAAAACAATTACATCCAAAAACACTGTACATTATTAATGTACAATAAAAGGTTTTAATCCACCAAATGTATTCAGTTCTCACGTAACAAATAACATGTGATCAGTTGAACATTCAGGGTTTCTTTAACGTTGATATCCATAATCAGACAAACATAACAACATTTTTATTATTCAACAAACAAAATTACTAACTCAATTATTTGGATGGTTAAATGAAAATATCATGAATATCACTTTAAACAATATTCAACTGACGGTTATCACGATGAATTTATTGTTCTTTCTGGGTGCGGTGAATAGTTGTCTATTTATAATTATTATAAATCCAAGGACTATTCCGATCAATCTGAAATACAACAGAAAACAATTTACATTATCATAATCTCATAGATACAATAAACCATAGTAATGTGTATCTAATGTTCTACATAATCTGAATGCATAAAATGGTTGAACAAATTCTTCAGTGTCTCAGTTTGACATTTTCGTACGTTTGTCAAACTTGTCGGAATAATCGATGAGTGGATTACCTGATGAGTGATTGTCCTGTTTATCTCATTTCATACTGATCATTTGTTATAATGTGATGTAACACGAAATTTTAATGGTTTGTACTCAGAAGAAATCAACAATTTTTCTTTTCCTCAGTCAAATTATTCTTGTGAAACATGGATCAGTTGTCTTATTTCAGTGTACAATTCACTTCATTGGATAGTGATACACTAAAATTGTCGTTGTGATTTTTATGCAATGACTGTATTTCAGACATATATTACTTACGTTATTATGAGACCACTGAGAGCAATTGGATCTGGAAAACAAATAGTGCTGAATCTTTCAAATGGAATGATCAAAGTCTTACGTGTAACTACATTTTTCGTGAGCATTTTGGTTTGATATAATATCAAAAATGGTTAAGCTGATTTTGTCAAATGGAATGACAAATGTCTTACTTGTTATCAGAAATATTCAGACACCCTGAATATTTAAAAAGCCTTTGGATGCTGAATCTGTCAAATGGAATAATAATTGTCTTACATGCAGTAATAATTAACTTTTCCATTTGTATAATTACAATCCTTGTCCGACTTCATTAATGTAAACTCAGTGAAGACTTGTGAACGATTCGCCTTTGAAATTTCAGCTTTCACAAACAACAATATAAATTTATTCTGAAATAATTAAAAATTCACGAGGTGGAGATATTCAATTTCATGAATTACATAAGACCTTAAATATTCATTCACATGACTATTTCGTTCCTCATTATTTATTTTCACACAAGTTTGGATTTATGGACATGACCAGAATTTCATCTCGATAGTTCTCATTATCATCTTTACGAGAATAAATACAAAGCTCGAAAGTCGATGAAAATTGATCTCATTAGATTCACATTAGATGATTTCGGCATATGATGCTTTTTAGTGATCAACGTTGACGTAATCACTTCAGTAATTATAATTAACCGTTCTAAAATCTAATCATCCTCATAAATGATACTCAACGAAAGTATGATTTTCTCTCCATTATTCTCTCCTGTGATTTTTCGAAAGCATGTCGTACTATAAAGTAAGTCGTAGGCAATAAGTAGGTTGTATAGTTATTTTTTACGGGTTATTACAATAACGCATTTTGCAAGACATTGAAAATCTTGCAAACTGCATAAACTTGATTTCCTCCAAAATTTGTGTCATCCAATTGTTCATCATCTTTCGTCTTCAATAAGAATGTCTTTTCTGTTTGTAAAAGAGATTCATTTGAATCATTCGTGTTGAGTGTTCTGTATTATAGTTAGCCTATAACATTTAACTGAACTGTTGTTATTGCTACTCATAATTTAACTTATCAACAAATCGAAACTCATTCTTAAATTATACCTTTTGATAGAAATTAACAAATTCACATGGAATGATGTTCACAATAAAAATAATACACTAAAACTGCACATATATATAACGGAAAACTCTTATTATTTTGAATCTTCTTTCTTCACTTATGAGTGCTCATTGATTTCATTGAACTTTGGTTAAGTTACCTTTGTACAGAATAATAGAAAACGTGATTCGTGAAAAATTAAGCAATATGATCTAACTGTTGGTTCACTATTTGTGAATGAGTGATTCTACTTCGTAGTGAGAATAATTCGGTCGCTTTGATGTGCTGAATGTTTGAATGAATGAATAATGACGTCAAGTATGACACCGTCAAAACAGTAATAATGGTCACACATTTTTTTAAACAGAATGAATTTTTTATGTTGTCGGAATTGATACATCTTCTACACCATCATCATATACGTATTTGTGTAATGGGATTGCTGAAAAACGTCACTGAGGACACCTGAACCTACGTTTCATGTGACTACGTCGTCGTGAGAGAGCTTCAACTGTAGCCTTGAGGAGAGTGATGCTTACACTTACGTGTCTAACAGCCTGACAATTGGTGACGTGGTCACTTAAATGTAATGAGTCTTGAATCAATTATCCTTTTGATACGTTTTCATCGCTGTTGTGCTTCGGAAAATTATATTGACGTAAACATGATCTATTTGCTCCTCTGTGGTGTGGCCTGGTGAGATCTATGCGGCTTTGTGAGTGAACGTTTGTGCGAAAATTATTGACCAATTTGATGAATGCACATACATTTGCAAATATTGTCGTTTCTTTCTCTCACTCAATGTCGTCTCATGATTTCTTCATATCCTGTTTTGTCTATTCTAGCTTTGGAGTTTAGATCACTCATGAGAATGCTGAGGTTCTTTCCCGGACACCTTATTATGATTGACTTCGTTATCATCATTGCTATCATTGGTGAGGGCGTCACATTTCATAATATAAACAGTGATCCCCCTTTGCTTTGAAAGATGCTTTGATGATCGTGGATCTGTAAAATTCTCATCGTACATGTGCATTCCGTGCTTCTTTAGACGGCATTACAGCAACTCACTGAGTTCATCTTGTCCAACGTATAGCAGCACCACATCTAACACTTTATGTGTTTCGCTGATTCCTAGTACTGTCAAGTTGTATCTCCTCGTTTTCGTTGCTATTTGACTCGTCGTCATGGCTTTCCATATTGTTAGGACGTTCCATGTACCTTTAAAAATAGTTGCTCTAGTTAGTAGAAAGGGGCATCAGCCTCACGGTTCCAAAGAAATTCGTCTTCACCATGAACTCTTATAGTTCTTCCTAATGAAGATCTTCTAACTCAAAAGGCTGAGTTCAAATGGCTTGAATTATTTATTCTAATTAACGATTTTTAAGCGAATCAGTTTTTCTGCAGAATGGGTGGCTTACCCGATGTTCGACTTCCGTTTTTCACCAGGGCAAAAGAACAACAGCGAAACCGGGTAGGCTACATACAGAGTTTCAACTGCCGTACTTCTTATTTTATTGTGTTATTTCGGGGTCGTATGTTATAGATCGATATAATGAAATGCAGAAGTGATAAACTCTATTGACGACATAAACATCAACTTTTCGAATACAACATTTTCAAATAAAATTGAAGGATGAAAATGGGAAGGTTATAGAACACTGAGAAGCAGTTATTCGCTGATAATACAACTGTTGAAGAATATTAGGTATTTGTTACTTTTTTAATATTGAAGGTTTGTAACACAGGTGAATTGTTTCAATGGAGTTTTGTTCTTTGAAATGGATGGTTTGCTCGTGGAGCTTTTATTGTACTTCCGAAGATCATCATCAGCACAAATCTCAGGTACTCGTAGCAAATAGTTTGTGTTCCATTGACTTCTACCATCCGACAATAAACTGTAGCCACCGTTTCTTATGAATTTCTGATTTCAAACACCGTTGACATGTTTCAAATTAAACGTAACAAAGATTGTTCATTAACGAAGTCAAACCACTGCACTTTAATAGTCACGATAATAGTTTGAATGGTTTGCGAACTATGCATTTCTAATTACAATATGTCTTTTTCAATCCTCATTATAACGTACCAAATAATGTATCATTGTCTTTTATTATCAACCAAACTGTTTTAATACCATTTAAGCATTCACATTCAATCTTTTATATTGTCAGACAAAATTGTTTTGTTTCTTCTCTCTCTCGGTAACTCAGTTAAATTAATCTTCAAACATCACTATATGGACTCAGCATTCAATACAAAGAACAATCGAACAAACAATCAACATTATCTATTAAGTTTCTTTATTATTGATATAAATGTTTCATTTCAATTTTTGTCATATAACAATAATCAATCGACCCATTGATTGGGTATTATTTAACAAACAAATTACAGTACGACTAATTCTCAAGAAATAATCTAGTCAATGATAAAGATATTCCACAATTCATATGACTAATTGACTGTTGCTGAACCTCAGTTGAATGTTGTAAGATCGTATTTTATTTGCGTACAACACTCACCTGATTGCGCTTTTTAGGCATTCTTGTATTTGTCACATGTTATCACTGTTTGTTTGAGAACTATAGCGACCTTACAGCCAATATTCGGTTGAATCAACGGACTCACGAACCCAAAATATATTTATTCATTCCCAGTTCAGTAGTAATTGTCTCATACAGTCATCATCACTTTTGTTTTGGTCTTATATTATTGTTGTTTTCCGTTACGGTATCATGTGGTGTTATTTGGTTGGTTGTCTGAAATACATGAGTTGAATCGCGGATGCTGATATCAGCGTCCTTGACGTATTTGACTGAGTTAAGAAACGAACTATTATCCAGATAGGCAAAGAGAAATTGTTAGCTGGTCGTATAGGTTTATGAGTTATCGTCCGTATCATATAACTCGGTATTTGTAATTGATGATCATATCAGTTGACATAATCAGTCTAACATAAAGTCATAACATCCAACATTGTATACAGTAAACGTCTAACTACAGTCATCTCACGATTATGTTGCCATCATTGACATTAGTTAAATAAACACTTCCAGAGTAGTCGCGTGTCAATGATCACATATAGTATTTGTAAGATCCATTTGGAATGCTTTGTGTGTTTGTGAAAATCCCTCCATGTATATACTTGCACTTTGTTCCTATTGATCCTCTTAGTTGTACATTGTTAACTTTTTGACTGCATTTGAAATGTTTTAATTTGTATTTCATTATTGTTTTCTTTTTTACTACACCTTTGCTCATTCCCTATGTTTCTTCCCGAACTGCACTTATGTTGTTTTACTTTATACTAAGTCTGGGCGGCAGCCATTTTGTTTTGTACCTGGTTTTGATTGCATGAACCGTGTTGACTGGAATTGTGCATTTTGGTTGTGAATTGAAGAACTCTTCCAGAATTTGAAAACACTTTGTGTTACAGAGCGACCAATTATTACCTTTTGAACAAATCTGTACGTGATCTTTCCAGACAGGATAGAATAAAATTTATTTGTGGTGATTGGTTATTTTCTTGCATCCTTTATCAACTTTCTTATTTATTGTAGTTTAGATTTGTTCAATTGAACAATTAAGGGTTGGATAGCTGAGTGGTCATTTTTGTTTAGGTAATAATGTACACTTAAAATTATGATAAATTATAGAACCGTCATTTTGCCCAATTACTTTGTTTTGGTTTAAAACGGGCGATCGCGTATCTAACTCATCCAGACAGCTGTCCGGCAGTCCAAACCATAGTTTGGATCTAACAGTAATAATCACATATAATAAGAATTTAAGAGAAAGTCATTTCAGTGATAGAACTAGTAACACAGCATTTTACATTGGGAGTTAGATTATTTGACTAACAATGTTGAGACTGGTATAATGAACTTTTTTGTTTCAATTTTTAAAGTATGCTTTCAAGATAGACGCAACTAACGATGAGCGTGTGCATAATCTTTTTCAAATACGTATAGTTATTCATCACAACTGGTGGTGACGTAGGTGTTTTCGTTTAGTATGACGCCGGTTACCGAGATAAAATTGCCCAAATTTTGTTAAGTGAATAATTTTTTTCATTGAGCAATTAGAAATCGATTAAACTTAATGTTAGATAGTTTATCTCCTTGACTACATAAACAAATCTTGTTTCAGGTGTTAGTTATTTGTTTGGGGAGGACGTCTTTGAAAATCAACAAACAAATAGTAAACTATTTCA